GGATGACCCAAGTATTAGGGTGTTATGGATATGAAATAGTGTAATCCTATGTCATCATCAGCAGGTAAGAGTGCAGAAGTATGTCACAATGTGTTGGCACATATGTCACTGTCACTGGGTGGGGCAGTAGAGGTGTGTGGGTGTGTCTATGTGCAGTCAGGAATATGTCATCACCGCTGTGCAGGCATGTAGACAAAATATGTCACTAGAAGTGACTAACCCTTCTTTTTCCATTCTTTTCCCACCAGAGGGACCATGAGTGACCAACAAGCTGGCTCTTTCCTCTTTGGGAAGTTGCAAAAATCCTAAAGCCTTCTATTCTCCATTTCTGCTCCTCAGAAGGAGGGTTCCAGATTCAACACTGTTGTGCGTGGAGCCTGAGTGGAGATTCCCTGGGGACCCCCTCTCCATCCCAGAGCCTTGCCCCCACTCAGAGCTGCTCCCCTCCCTGCACCCACCTACCAGCTCCTTAGAAGTCCTCTGCATCCTTCATCCCATTCCCACCCTCCCAGATCCAGGCGCTCATTAGCATGTCAAAGCAGTCCTCTTCCAGCCCACTGCAGTGTACCCTGGGATATCCCCACACAGTTGGCTCCCTCTCATCTGGAGCTTTCCTGAAACCTTGCATTTTCATGTCTGCACACCAGTCTGCAGTACCCCCTGCCATCCATCAAAGGGAGGATGTTTTGGTGATAAATCTTTTCCTCTCTTGCCTCTAGTTCTTTTTGAAGCTCTGGACTGTGACTTCTGTCTCCCTTCCTCCAACCTCAGTCCTCCCAACTCTTCAGGACATGGTCAGGTGTCCCTGTCCATGGGGAACTCTTCAGACAAGCAGGTCCCCAGACCCAGCTAAGCCCCACATTTCTGATCCTTAGCTCTGGACTTGCTCCAGCACCATCGATGCAGCATCAAGGTTTGCTGACTGCCCCTTCATTGGGGCTTTGAGGTACTTGGCCCCCTTTTTCCTCCCCCCGTGAAACACATGCTCAGAAAGCTAGTCTTTACACCTTAAAAGGCTTTCTTTAGGCACATGGAAGTAGAAAAAAGACTTGCAGAATACTAGAATCAAAAGCAAAAGGCCATTTCAGAATCACATTTAGAATCACAGAATTACAGGCTTCCTACAGCATTATATGTCAGAGTGGCCCACTCCTACTCAAACCACTGGAGTGGGGGACTTGTTAAAAATTGCAGATCCTTGGGCTTCATCCCACATGAAGCAAACTGAAGGATCTGAGATGGCAGCCCAGGAATTTGCATCTTCTCCCCAGATTCCCAGGCATTTTGGACTCATAGATTGGTTGCAAAGCTTTCGCCTTGAATCTGTGGACGCTGAGAATCCTCTGATCCTGGGCTCTCCTCTTACAGAAAAATGAGATCACAGAATCGGAATATTTTAGGATTAACAGAAGTTTAGAATTGACCAATGACACATATTCACTCACACTTCAGAATCTTAAATTGCAAGAATCTCAATGTCTAGAATTGTAGAGCTGAAAGTGACCCTGGAGTGTGACTTTGTTCCCATTCTAGGAGGAAAACTTTTATTTTCTGGCTTCCATACTTCTTTTGGAATGGAAGGCTTTCACCCTGTACCCTGGGATATCCTTGAAAGGCTGTCTCCACAGTGTCGCCTACATTTGTGAAGATAGATGTTCTTTCCATATTGGTGCAAAGGCAGCCGGCAGAACCCCTGCATTTACAGGGCGGGTGAGCAGGAAATGACTTCTACTTTCCATTTAGGTTCAGCACACACTGGCTCACAAAACAGATCTTGCTCTTTGATAAAATGAATTTGAGAGGACATTATTGCTGTCTTACTGAAGCGGGAATATTGAGGAACATGGACAACAGAGGTTAATAAGCTCATGGGGCCTCTGGTCAAGGAAATGAAAGAGAGAGAGAATGCCAAGGGAAACAGCTATTTTAGAGATTGATAGTGATTGTGTGTGTGTGTGTGCGTGCGCGTGTGTGTGTGCGCGCGCGCGCGCGCGCGTGCATGTATTCGTTTTTAGGGGGAAAGAAAGAAGGAAGACAATGAAACATGCATAACATAGAAAAGTTCACCTAGTACAGATGGGGAAACAGGCCCTAAAAGGGGAAGAGGTTCTCTCAAGGTTACATAGCAAGAGCATGAAACTTCTGGGGCTGGGATTGTGGCTCAGTGGTGAAGCACTTGCCTAGCATGTGTGAGGCACTGGGTTCAATTCTCAGCACCACATAAGAATAAATAAATATATTGTGTCCATCCACAACTAAAAAATATTTTTTAAAAAAGATCATGAAACTTCTAACTCCTAGGTAAATATTCTTCCCTGGCATAACTCAGCATCCAGACCCCAAGTTTCTTTGTGATAGGTATTTTTCACACACTTATTCATTCATCAAACATGTATGTAGGGCTCTAGCAAGCCAGGCAACTCTTCAATGCATACAAAGGTTTAAGAATTTTGGAGTTTCTCTTTCCCCCTCTTTGTTCCACTTCGAGAGAAGCAAATAAATACTCCATTGAGAGTGAGATAACACATGCACCGATTCACACTCTCAAGATCTTTTCAGATCCGAGACTCTCAGAAGTAAGCGGGGGAGAGATGCCCGCAAACAGTCCACGATAATACACACGCTAAGTGCTGTCCTAGTGAAGAGGGAGCTCCAAGGCGGAGAATCAAATACACACAGCTTGCAAGCCAGATGGAAGGGGAAGCTCCAGGCAGGGAATGGGTAGGGGCAGCCGGCGCCTGCTCTCAAGGTACCCAAGCTCCGGGGCCATCCAAGTCATCTCAGAAGTTTCCTGGAGGAGAGGGGGTTGGCTGTGTCACCTAGAGATGTGGGGTTAAATCTCAGAAGCACTCTATCCCTTCCTGGCTATGTGACTAGGGTGGGTGTGACTTTTCTCTAAGATTCAGTTTTTTTTTTTTTTTTTTTAATCAGTGCAAACAGGAGAATGATCCTTACCTACCTGCCAGGGAGCTGGGAGGCAGCTGGGTCCTAGCAAGCATTAATTCTGTTTCCCTCCCACACCCCACAAGGCATCGTATTCTCTCTTCCGCAGTCTGGGACAGTGTGACCATTAGACAAAGACTCCTTTAGGACCTTTTTGACCAAAGAACTCTGTCATTTCCCTGAGTTTAGGTTGGAAATGAGATGGAAAAGATTTTAAAAATTGGAGAAAAATGGGAAAGACGTTTTTCTTCTTGACATTTTTCCCCCTTCCCTCTTCTTCTCCAGCACAAGACACTGGGGTATTGCTTCCCTAAATGGGAGCCACCTGAAGGAAGTCCAGGGAGGGCTTCAGGACCAAGAACAGGAGGAATTTTCCACCCACAAATCTAAAAATGGCTGTTCTGTGCTACTCAACCTCCAGTTGTTTCTTTCTGGCAACAAAACAAAACAAAGCCAAACCCCCTTTTATTTGGCAAGAAAACAAGGGTTGGAGAGGTCTTGGGAAGATGAAGCCAGGGAAAAGCTTAAAGGGGCTACAGAACAAAGAATTTTCATTTACTGAGCCCTTCACTAAGATAGGTGATTCATACTCTTTATCTGATTTAATCCCCACTCCTGTGTCTACATTACCTTAAATGTCATTACATCCACTTCATATTCAAATAAAACATTCAGACTTAGAGAGGTTAAGCATCTTGTTCAGGGTAACACAGCCAAGAAGCAAGGGAATTGGCACTTGGTGTTGGTGTGTATCTGCAGGAGGCAATATTTCCAAAGGGGGTTGGGTGATTTCCTGGAAGCCACACCTGGGTCTGCAGCTTAAGGATAACTGGTTCTAGAGTTTGGGTGACACTCATATCCTATAGGGGGACCTTGCTACGGACTGGTCTTTAATAGGTTCCAAGTCTGAAGAAAGTGATGGTGGCTATAGGTCAAAGGCCCAGAATGATATCTTGAGGTCTTACCTAAGAAACCCCCCTCTGTGACTGTCTGTTGCTCAACTCTGCTCAGTTTGGCTCAGCCTGGCTCTTACTACCAGTTTCTAACCAGTGTTTCTGCCTCTGCTCTTGCCTTCTAATTTCTAACTGGCTTTCAGGTTTGTAGGAGAATCGTGGCTTTCTAAAACATACATATGATTGCATCACTCTGCTTTTTAAAACACATGGTGGTCACAGCTTATTTTGCCACCCAGCACCCACTCCTCCCTCGTGTGGCACTGGCTTGGAGAAGCCCATCTGTGTATAGTTGTCCCTCAGTATCTGCGGGGGGATTGGTTCCAGGCTCCTTGCAGATACCAATATCCTTGGATGCTCAAGTCCCTTGTATAAAATGGTGTAGTATTTGCACAGAGCCTGTGCATATTCTTTAGAGCCAGGGGGATCACACGCACTGATTGGCTTAGCCCAGGTCATGTGACCCAGATGAACCGCAGCCTGCCCTCTGTGTCTACAGGTTTTTCATCCACGATTCAACCAACCATGGATCAAAAATATTTGGAAAACATTGCATTTGTACCGAACATGTATAGACTTTTTTCTTGTCATTATTCCCTAAACAATATAACAACTATTTACATAGTATTTGCATTGTATTTTTAAATCAGCTGGAGATTATTAAAATATATGGGAGGATGAGCAGTAGGTCAATGTAATGCTATGGTATTTATATAAGGGACTCAAGCCTCTGTGGTTTCATTGGGGAAGGGTCTTTTGGAGCCAGCCTCCTGAGTACCCAGGGGTGACTGTATGTACTGAGCATCTATTATATGCCAGCGTTTCTCTAGGTGCCAGCACACCATGGTGAAAGCAGAGTACAAATTTCTATCTCATCTACTAGAGGAATTGAACCCAGGCAAACACACAGGGAACAGGGTGATTCTAAAAGGAGATGAGAACAAGAAAAGGGATACCTGCTTTATGTCCCTCGCTTCAGATTTCAAGACAGGCCCTCAGAAAGTGGTTGTTTAATAAATGAACACCCAGCGGTGGCTCTTAGCCTTTCTTTGTGATGTCACAGGGACTCTTCTGGAAGCTTTTGGTAAGTGATTTATTCTCCATTTCCAGACTACACCCCCTCTTGGGAGCGGGGTGGTCACAGTTATATAAATGATTTTATGTGCGTGAGAAGCATTCGCCTCTTCCCATGGGAGCTGAACAAAGCCACCTTCCCTTTGACTTCCCAGTGCCTCCTCCTCCCTGCCTCGGGTCCTGTGCAGGAAGCATGATGTGCTCCCCTGGCTGACTTTGATCCAGGCTCCCTGCCTTCGACTTTCCGGTCGTCCCTCTCCCGTTCCCCTCCACAGGCCCGTTGCCAGCCCTTTGATCCTGTCTGTGACTTTCCACTGGGCCTCATCAGGCTCTCTTAAGATGAGGAAGCTTCATCCAGCTCAGGTCACTCCCAAGCTCAGAAGCCTTCATGACTCACCCTTGCCTGCAGCATGAGTCCAAACCCACGAGGGCCTCCCTCCATCTGACTCCAGCTCCCTTCCCAGCCTGTGCACGGCGACTCTTCTCCCAAACAGCCCTCCCTCTGATGTTCATTTGTTCCTTTCTCAATTTACCCCTCTGTGCTTGTCTCCTCTTTCTAGATATAAGCTGCTTGAAGGCAAGGATCCTATTTTGCACATCTCTAGTCACCGGTGTGAAACCCAAGGCTTTTCTGATTGCAAACAGTGAAATTATTGCCAGGTATTATGCTCTGGGTTGCTTGGGTTGAAATGGCTTGTCTTGAAGTTCCCATCTCAGGGGTGGGATCTGCAGACCCAGGCTCCTTGCTGGGTGTGTTCATTTTTTTTATTGAAATACCTGGCAAGGACAACTTAAAGGAGGAAAAATTTATTTGGGACTCATGGTTTCAGAGGTCTAGTCTATGGTTGGCCAGTTCCATCACTCTGGGCCTGAGGTGAGGTGGAACATCATGGCCGAAGGGTGCAGCAGAGGGAAACTGCTCAGCTTATGGCGGTCAGAAGCAGAGAGCAAAAGAATAGGGAGCCACAGGGGAACCCTTCAGAGCATGCCCCCAGTGACCCACCTCCTCCAGTCCCACCTCCCCTGCTTATCGTTACCATCCAGTTAGTCCATTCAAACTAGGATGGACTGACTGAGTCCCAGCTCTCATGATCTAATCATCTCACCTCTCAATATTCCAGCTTTAACACAGGAGCTTTAGGAGGACATCTCATATCCAAACTGTAACCCTGGGCCAATAGACCACCACCACAACTCTGGTAGGTAATCTGTTTTTAAATCTTGCATTTGCCCCTCCCAAAGCTCTCTCTTTTTTTTTTTTGCAGTTCTAAGTCCACACACACAGATTCATGAGTTCCTTGCATACTTAGGCCCCATCATAGTGGAATTTTGACTTTGGAAAGTTTTTGCTGTCACTTGCTGTAGTAGTAATGCATTTTTGCGCTGTTAGATCCAGTATCTCTTTGGAGTCCCTTTCTTTCCCCTTGTTCAGACTTTATGATTTGGGGTTGGGCTGCCTCTATGCCTCACTTCTGTGGGTGGGCAATAGATCCATTGCCAGTTAATCAGAGCACTGGGTGTCCAACTGGCCGTAGTGATTAGCTCTGGCATGGCAAGTGACACAAGCTAAGCTAATAGGAATCAGCTTGGGACTTTAGCTGGAACCAATGGGAAATAGACTATTTCTGTGTGATTTTTGCAGGGCTGGCAGAATACGGTCCTGAGGATCTGGTGATTTTGCCACCCTCCAGGAGAGCCTGCCTGTTGGTGATGCCAACACAGAGATGCATAGAGCTAATGGAAGGGTAGGAGACATATCTCTGATGATCTAATGATGGTATTAAGGGACCCGGATCCTTTTCAGCCTTATCCATTCATGCACTTTGCACCTGTGCAAGCCAATAAATGCCACTGTTCAACTTTCATTGCTGTGAATTAGGTTTTGTTTCAGCCACCCGGAAGAAACCAGCTGGGATCTGTCATCTCAGAGCTGTGCATTCCTTCTTTCAGAGAACTTCTCATCAGGCAGCTTCTGACCTCGGAAGGACCCACCATATAATATCCTTTCATTTCAAGAAGGGACTCAATCATTGTTGATCTCCGAGCCACCTTCTCACCTACTACAACTTGGTCCCCATGGTCATGTTGTCTGAAGTTTGAGAAGGGGGCTGGTGATGTCAGTTCTTACTCAAAGCTTTGTCAAAGTTAAAACTTCATATCCACAGATCTTTATCCCCTCAAACATGCACATAGTTTTGGCCAACAGCTCTGCAATTTCACCCTTGAGTGGTATTAGCATTCTTGGGTGGGTGCCATCCATTCCTAGCGATTTGTCTGCATCTAGTGTATCAGTTGGAGTTAGAACATTTGCTGAGAGAGCAGTGCCTTTGGCGCCCCGACTTCCAAGAGACAATTTGGGAGCGGGAATTTCCCCGAGGTCCTCCTCAGTGAGGCTGAGACGGAGGTTTCTTCGGATCTTCTGTACATCTCTTTTTCATTACTGTGCTCTCTCCCAGAACTGTGACCATCAAGTATCTATCTTGCTGGGACTTCTTCTGACCTCTTTTCAATTTGATGCATTTGAAAGATCTCTTATTCTTGGTCTTAGAGACCTTCCCAAGGTGACTTTTGGAGTGAATTTGAACCATATAATTTCAAGGCCTCTCTGCCTTGAATGGGGCCTCTTGATTCCAAGTCACCACTTTCCCAATGATGTCTTTGGCTTTTCAGTAGCCTCTCAGGTCTCTCTCCCTAGCTTGTTGTTCTTGCGTTTTTTTTTTTTTTTTTTTTTTATTGTTTCCCACTGTAATGTTCAGACCATGCAATGCTGTGGTGGGAGGCGGGAAGTGTGTGTGCAGAATTAGTGGGACTAAAAAGCGGCTCCACTATGATGCCACTATCTAGAGGCATTGTGGTAGGGAGAGGGAACCAGCATGTCACCAAGGTTCCCATGCCGGGTGGTGACCTTGCAGCTACTTTCTGTTTCTTCCTCTGATTCCTCTTTCCCCCATCCCCGTCCTGCTTTATACCCAGAATGCAGGCCACCATCAACAGGCTTGCTCTGTCCTCGGGCTTCCGGTTGGGTCTTATCAGAGGTACTGGCAGGGATTAGAGGCAAGCAAGAGGGCATGAAGGGCATGATCAAAGGTCCTTCGGCTGTAGGTCATGGTTCCTGTCCAGTGGTCCCTTCCACACACGTATGATCTCAGGTCTTGGTAGCCTCCCTCCCTGCCCTTCAGGTGGTGATGGCTCCCCACAGGCGCTGGCCTAGGGAACTGCACCCTCCTGTTGGGATCTGCCTTATCCACATATTACTGAAGTCCTTCTCGGATGACCCAGAAGGAGTGGTCCATGTGCCTTGCCAGTTTCTGCTCACCATTCATTGGTCAGACTTAGTGCCTTGGGCCCACCCCCTGCAAGGGGGTGGGAAGGGTGGTGCTGCTCATGCTCAGGAAGAGAGAGAGAAACCGGATGTGCATGTGCTCTGTCTCGGTTACCGCAGAGCACACCTCATAACTCTGGTCCTCAGCACTCTGCATCTACATAAATGTCTTTCCAAGGAACTCATCTTACTGCCTGTCATATATTATTCTTCAAAGCTTTTCTTCCCAGGGTGTGGCTGAACAGAAGGGTCTTTGGATTCCTATTTGGACTTTGCCTTGTCTCCACTGTGTGACTTTGGGCATGTAAATCCCCTTCTGTGCCTCAGTTTCCTCATTTGCAAAGTGGGGTACAGATGTTTTCCTTGTGGGCACATTGCTGGCCTGAAATAGCATGCACAGGACCTGGGAGAATGCAGTGAACAGCAGCTGGAATTAACCATCCCACCCGTGCCTGGGAAGATCCGCAAGTATGCATTCATATAGCAGTGTCTCCCAAATGCCTGCTCTGGGCCAGGCATGCCTTGGACCTGGAATATGGAGTGAGGCGCAGGAGGATCTTGCCTCATGGAGCGTTTCTGGTGGAGTGGACAGACAATGAGCAAAGGAAAAGATAGGTCATTCATTGTGGTGAGTGCTCTGAAGAAATAAAACCACATGTGGGAGAAAGAATAGGGAGCAGGAAGGTCCAAGAAAGAAAGCTTCCTTCATGCTTAGTCTGAAGGACAGGAAGAGGGGCACAGTAACTAATGTCTATGAGGAAGATTAGATGAAGGCTGTGCATAAGTTCTTGGTGCAGAAGGCTTGATCCGAAGGTCACTTCCCTGAGCCTGTTCCCAGGACAGAATGGAACCCAGGTGGCAGAAGTGTGGTAGGAACCAAGGTCATGTGGGACCTTGTCAGCTCTGATGAGAGGCCTCGATATTATCAGATTGGAATGGGAGCCACAGGAGGCCAAGTCCCCCGTGGGTTCTCTGTGCCTACTCCCAAACACCCTGATTTCATTTGCCCAATTTCCTTAACAAATAGCCATTCTGGAGAACTGAGGGCTTCCATTAAGAATCCATGCAGGTTTTTCTCTCACTTCTGAGGAAACTGAGGCCCACAGTCCCTGGGGTCAGGTCCTGGCCCCCATGATGTAGACCACGGCCACCTGATTTCCCTGCCCCCACCTCTGCTGCAAGAATCCGCCGTGCATGAGCCATTTCCTCCCTTCAACTCGCTCTCCCCAAGGCTGGCCTGGTCACCTCTGTTCTGTAGATGAGGAAACTGAGGACCCAGCACATCCCCCTCCCTGCTCACCTCAGGACAGCTCCCTCCTGCATGCAGCAACCCACACAGCATCCTGTAAATAACTGCATGTTCCCAACACCTCTCCTCCTTCTCCTTGGAAACCTGCTCTCTCTTTGGACTTGGGCTGCTGGGTTGTTAGATTCCCCGGCATGGCTCCACGCAGAGCATGGCAGGAACACAGACCATACATCTGAAGGCCTAGGGCTGGGCGCTGGCTTGGTCATTCACTAGCTGGGTGACCTTAAGCACATCACTGAACCTCTCTGAGCCTCCGTTTTCTCATCCAAAATGCAGGGGGGCACAATAACCATGTCTATGATGAAGATTAGATGAAGACTGTGCATAAGTTCTTGGCTGAAGGTGAAGCACACAGTAGGGGGCTTAATGAAATGAGTTTTACATGAACTACACACACACACACACACACACACACACACACACACACACATACATTTAAGCTGCACAACAACCTTATGAGGTGAATCCTCTGGTTATGCTCATTTTCTAGACCAGGAAAGAGGCAGAGAGAGGACAGGAGATGTGCTAAGGTCACACAGGTAGAAGGTTCCAGGAAGGATTTGCATCCAGGCTGCCTCGGCCTGGAATTTGCACTCTTAGTCTGTTCTTCTGAATGGGAGCTGGGACTCACTCCAGCTGGGTGTAGGATAAGGTGGCACCCGGTGGTTACTCGGACTGTTGGTGTGCCACTGAGTGGTCTAGCATGGCTGTCCCGTGTCGGGGAAATTCTGCTAGGGTTTGTGTCCTCCACAGGTTCATGTGTTGGAACCTTAGTTCCTCAATGTGTAGCCCTGGGAGCTGGGGCCTGACGGGAGGCGTTGGGTTGTGGGGTGTATTGATGGATGGACCGACGCCTCGCTCCTGTGAGTTCTCCCTCTCAAAGAACTGGGTTAGTTGCCGTGAGAGCAGGTGGTCATAAATAAGGCTGTTCCTCTTGGTTTCCTCTTCCTCATGCCCCTTTCGCCCTCTGCCACCAATTGCAGCAGCATGAGACTGTCACCAGAAGCAGCATAAGACCTCGCCAGAAGCCGAGCAGATGAGGTGGTCCTGCTCTTGGACTTCCCAGACTGCTGAGCTATGATCCAAACTAAACCTCTGCTGCTGATAAATCGCCCAGTCTCATGTATTTTGTTTTAGCAACAGAAAATGGGCTAGGACAAATGGCTGTGGTAGACACAGGAATCTTATTTGATCCTGAAGTCTTTCTTCTCATAGCAACATAATATTCCTTTAGGGAAATCACCCTTCCCATGTTCTCTGGCCATGTAGTTTGGATAGAGTTGAATCCCCCTTCCCTCAAGCTCTAGGGATTGGCAGACAATCCTAGACTCTAGGTCTAGGATTTAGGATGGACAGGTGACCTAAGATAAGTCCTATGAGACTCAATCATGAGGCTTGTTCTGGAAATACTAGACAAGTTTTCTTTCTGTTGGGATTACTGAGCTGGGAAAGTGTGAGCCTGGTGCTGCAGGGCAACAAGAGTAGAAGGAGCCTGGTCAAGAGGAAAGCCAAGCTGAAGATAAGCAGAAAGTGACTAAACCTGATGATATGGCATGAGCTGCTGGATCAAGCCCTTCCTGAAATCTATTCATCCCTTGAATTCTCAGTTCCTTTTTTCCTTAAACAATTTTTATTTATTTTTCTATCACTTAAATCTAAAATAGGATTTACTGGCATTATGCTAGGTACCCCATCTTTGTTATTTTACTTAATCCAGTGAGGTAGTTGACATTGTGTTCATGATTCAGATGAGGGAACCGGGGCTAAGAGAGATTATATTGGCTTTGGTGTCACAGCTAGCGTGTGGCAAAGCTGGGATTAGACCCCAGGCGTTTTGACTCTAGGCTGTTCCTTGATCGTTGTGCCTTATGGTAGAAGGCTGATTTCACCCTCTGATTAGTCCTGGGGGTGAAACTGTAATTTAGATTTTGTGATGTCTGCTCTCTAAGTCTCCTCCCACAGTTCTCCTCGCTATTTTCTCATCCCTCTAAATCCCTCCTCCTCGGGGGGAAAAAGCCTTTGCTGGCTCTACCTCCAGACTAAACTGTGTCATTGTAGACCTTTTTGTGGCATAATATAATTTTTCTTGGCTTGACTGAACTTCAATAATTATTTGTTCTAGGTTTATCTCTTCCACTGGGTGGGAGTCCCACGAGGGCCGAGGTGACGTCTGTCTGCCTGATGCTGCAGCCCCGATGCTCTGGCCCAGCACCTGGCCCGTGGTGGGCACCTGGGAAATGTTTGCAGAATAAATGAATCGTGTGATTTTTTCCACTCCCTCTGTGGCGCTGGATTGCAGGACACCTGTTTGCCTGCAGCACCGGATCATTCTGACCCTGCAGAATCCCTTCTTGCTCTACTGGATCGTGAGCTCCCTGTGACCTGGGATGCTTCCTTACCTTAGTTTTCATAGGTATGGCTTTTCCTACCAGTGAGTTCTTTGAAGATAGGCCAGTGTCTCTGGCCGCCATCCCTTTAATAGTCGTGAGAATAATAACAGTCCAAGTCGTCCACAAATACAGGTCACTTACCATGTGCCAGGTTCAGTTCTGAGGCTTTAACATGCATCGCCTCATTTAACCCTCACATCAGCCGCATCATACGCACTACTATGAACCCATTGTACTTAAGGGAAAACTGAGGCTCGCGTTGGCTCTTTCTGCTTTGCCTGTTTGAACTGGGTGTCTGTCTCGTGCAATCAGAAGAGTCCTCATTTTCTGAGTGACTTAAGCGGGTCAGTGCTAGACTGGATTGGAAGAAGCCAAGGAGAGCAGAAAGTCTGGGATGCTGGAAGGAGCAATTTGGTTGACTCAGCAGATGGAGGCCTGGCTGTCCCCTGTTGAAAGGAGGAGTCGTTTTGGTGAGCAATCAAAGAAGGGAGGAGATGAGAGGCGAAGGAATGCCTCAGGGGAAGGGAGTGTAGAGTGGGCAGGAGCTCAGATTGCTGGAGAAAGGGAGCCTGGGCTCCGAGGTCCGCCTCAGCACTTCCTTGCTGTGTGATCTAGAGCAAGGCTTTGCACCTCTCTGAGCCCACTTTGCAGGGCTGAGGCCAAGCTTGTGTAAATTGCCTGGCCAGGGCCTGACGTGGATTGATGGGCACCACGCATGGGGTGCAGGCCACGTGCCAGGGCTGCTGAAGGTTCTCCACCTGCATGAATTCTCCTGACAACCTGGGATGTGGTCACCCTGAGGATCCCACTCTAGAGAGGAGACTGAGCTGAACGTGCAGCCACTCACTCAAGATCAGAGTAAGAAGCAGCTGGGATCTGGGCTCTCGCAGAGTGACTCTAGAACTACTGATCTTTCTGGTCTCCTCCGGGAGGCTCTGAGCTTGGGTAGGGAGAAAGGGGCTCCTGTGGACCTTTGCTTCTATGTTCTGTGGGCTCTTAAGGTTGGTTCCAAGTTTCTTTTTTCATGATTTTACCCTCAAGGGAATCTTCCCCTGGCCCCAGCACATCTCGGACTCATGCCCTCCCCATCGCCCAGCCCTGGAGCTCAGAGACTTGTGAACAGCTCCTGGGCTGCTTGGCTCGGGCAGCAGGTGCCTGGTGGTGGGGCCGAGGCTGGTGCTGTGGGCAGTGGAGCTCCGTAGGCGCTCAGAGGTAGAAGAGGAGCAGACCCCGCCGCTCCCTGGAGGAGGGGCATTGAGCCAGTTTCTCAGGGGTCCAACCCTCTGAGGCTGGCCCTGGGGCCCAGCCCGAGGTGAGCAGCTTCGTGTTCCCAGCTTCACACCCTGGAGTAGCACCTCTGTGGTTTTTGCCACAGCTACGTGCCACCTGTGCTATTGACTATCATTTCTCTCTGATTTCACTCACTTGCAAAATAAAACCCTTCAGTGCATTTATTCAAAAAAGAGACCCCAGAGGACAACTTTAAACCAGCAAACCGGTTCTATCGGTAATAGGAGGGGACAACGCACATGAATGCAGAGACGGAAACACTGTTAATACCCAGCTCTGTGCCGGGAAGGCCTGACTGGCCCTGGTCTGAGGCTAGCCCTTGAGTTGCTGGAGGCAGAGAGCTATTGTGGCAGGGGTATTAAGGACAAACTGATTGAGACCTTCTCACGGATTCAGCTAAAGTATTCAGCTACCCGTATGAAAGAACTGAAGAACAAGAATAAATCCCTCAGGATGCATGGGAAGTATACATGATAAAAAGGAGATGTTCTATTACTTGGATTCTCAGTTTCCCCATCTAGAAAATGGGCTAGCAGTTCCTATTCCCAAGGTCATTCAGAAGATTAAAATAAGATGCTATTTCTGACCCTGAGAGGTGACTCCTGCCCGTCAGTCCCGATCTGATCAAACTGAGAAACCTCACAGCCACCTTTGCTCAATTCCATTTCCTCTCTTGCAGACTCTTTTTTTTCCAGACAAAGAAAGTCTGACAGTTGTGTGCTCACATCTTCTGTCCTCCATTCTCTCCAGGGTCAGGTCTCCTCTGAGCCTTAGTTTGTTTGTCTTTAAAATGGGCATAATAGCAGGCATCTCCCCAAGTGACTGTATTGGCAAAAAACCAAACAAACAAACAAACAAACAAAAAAAACCAAACCAAAACCCCTAAACACAAAACCTTTGTCATTGGTGACCATTCAGACATATGTAAAGATTTCTTTTGATTCTCTCTAACTCTCTGGGGTTGGAAGGTTATGAGAGTGCTCATGGGGTTGGACTGACTGTCCTCAGGGGAAATGTGGAGTTTGAGCCCACACGAAAGACTTCCTGAGTTCATGACAGTTTTGCACGGATGTGTCTGTTGTTGAGGGGAATATTGTGGGTTCCAGCTGAGGCAGCTTCTGTTTTTAGCTGGAATCATCGCTGCTCAGCCCCCTGTGTGGAAAAAAAAAAAAAAAGAATGTGGTGCAGAAATAGCCGTCCCAGGGGCTGCCCAAGAGAAGGGCTTATTTTGACTCAGGATGCTGCCGGAGCTGTGGCAGCCTTGTCAAAATACATCTGCTCTTCTCGCGCAGCCCACGGATCCTCAGGCTGGAGCCAGGACCGCAGAGTGGCTGCCAGACACGCACATCTGGAACCTGGCCCCTGGGAGCTGAGGACAAGCCTGGCTTTGATCCAACAATACACCTCCTGAGCTCCAGAGGGAAGAAAATAGATACTCTATGCCAGGGGCATGAAGGAGCGCACCTTGGTCTTATTCCTCTCTGTGGTCCCTATGGCTGGCACGGGCCTGGTAAGTGAAGCAGGGAGGGTCTACAGTCATTTCTCTGTGGACTTTGCAATGGAGTGACTGGCGCACCCATGTCACAGATTGGCTAACGGAGGCCCAGACTATGATGTGATTTATTGTGATGGGAATCTCCCTTGTGCCATGTCATCTTTTCTCCAAACCCTCCTTTGCACCTCCGAGCTGCATGTGTCTCTGTCTGTGATACCCTTTCTCCTCTTGTGACTGTATAATACAGGACACATGGCACCTCCCCTAGGCACAGCTGGTCCCTGCCTTATTAGAGTTTTGTACAAGTTTCACCATGGCCCTTTATCTCCCTGCCTGGTGACCTGTCCCTGGGAGGACAGAGTCATGTGTGAGATATAGGCCAAGCTTTGGCCTGGCCCAGGGCAGACAGAACCAATGCTAACCAAAGAGATGAGTGAACGAACTGCACTGGTGTGTTTCATTAAGTGTCTTCTTAACTCAAAGCAGAGGAGGTTGCTTCCAGTCTTCAGGGAGACAGGCTTATGGTCTCCCGAGTGCCACAGCCACTTGTCATAGTCTTCTAACATGCAAGATGCCCCAAATTGGATTCATTCACTTCCGACCAGATCTGCCATGAGCAACAGCTTTACCATCTTTCCGGTTTCTTTAACGTGTAACTCCAGTAGCACGTGTGGAGCCCCTTCCTGGTATGTCTCCTGCCCGCCCCAGTTCCCATCTCCTCCTTCCTGCCCCTCCGCCTGCTGCTCTTGGCTTCACCTCTGTTCCCCTCCCTCGCAGGGAGCTGACTCCTGGCTCCAACCCAGCCGGCAGCCCTGGCTCCCCACAGCATTGCCAGAGTGGGCTGTGCGGGTGTTCGCAGTGATTCCGAGGATAAAGGGGCCCGTGGTCAAGCGAGTGGGGACTGGCCAAATGAAGCCAAGCCGATTCCCCTCCAGGACTTCTCGGGGCCTTTAATGTGCTGTTTTGGACCGTGATTCTCAGAGAGGCAGCACAGCGTGTGACATTTCTAGAACTTATTTGATCGTGAACCTTTTGATGCAGTAATAAAACACCCAGGGAAGGGGCGTTCTAAGAAAACGCTCAACTCCCAACCCTGGCCATCAAGACCCAGCTCGGAGTGACCTGGTCTACCTTTCCGACTGACGCTCTGGCTGCCCTGGTACTTTCAGAAAAACCTGGCCCAGAACAGCACCTCGGGAGGCTGTGAGCCCTTCTGCTTCTGCCTCTCGCCCACTCACCCTCCTGCCAGGCTCGCTCTTGCCATGGGTCCACACCTGCCTTTTCTTTAAGGCCAATCCCAATGTCACCCCTCATCTGCTCTCTGCCATGGAGCCCTCCCAAAGGATGTAAGCAGCACGGGCGACTGCTCCCTCTTCTTGTCCCAGAGCCCCACATCTTGCAGATGTTAGATCACCCTGATTATGACAGCATTACAGGGAGATCTTGGGATCCACTCTAATTTACTAAAACAAACAAACAAACAAACAAACAAAAACAAACCCTCACTGACAACCCTTGGTATTTTAATGAGCAACCAGCAAGGCACCGTGTTCATGATGCTTCACTCCACGGACACATCCTGACGCAGTGGCTGAGGGCCTCTGCATGACCTGCACGTTTCCAAGGATGACATCTGCCTACGTGGCCCCTTTGTGCAGTGGGACTCCTGATTCAGTGGCCCAGACGTCACGCAGAACTACCTGCTTCTGGTGTTTAGTCACATGGTGGGCTCCCCCAAAGGAACAGTTCCACTCATGTTCCAGGGGGGGACTGAGGTTGACCGATAGCCCACCCGATGCTACTTAATTCCTGCCCTGTCACCTGGATGGCTGAGACAGGGCCAGAAGGGAGCTCCCAAGGGGAGAGGGAGTCTTGGGAGGGTTGAAGGATTTGCTCAAGATTATACAGTTAGATCCCGGCGCGGTAGCACATGCCTGTAATTCTAGTGGCTCCAGAGGCACAGGCAGGAGGATCGCGAGTTCAAAGCCAGCCTCAGGAAAAGTGAGGTACTAAGCAACTGAGTAAGACTTTGTCTCTAAATAAAATACAAAATAGGGCTGGGATGTGGCTTGGTGGTTGAGTGCCCCTGAGTTCAACCCCCAGTCTCTCCCCACCAGAAAAAAAAAGATCATAAAGCTGATAAACCTAGACACAAACTCAGGTGAGTCCAGCTCCAGCACCAAAGCCTGGCTTCTCTTATGACCCCAATCAGGACCCAGGTCAGAGCCTCCTCTCACCCCTCCCTGACAGGGCCGCCGGGGGGAGGTGGTGCCTTTTCCTGAAGAGCAGCCACCCTACACTCAGGGGTCTCTGCTCTGTGTGATCTCCCCTTCAGACCTGGGGCTCCTCACGGTGGAGTCAGATCTGTCTTTGCCCCTCCAGATCTAACAGGGGGCTCAGCTGCACACATGGGTTTGTATGCATGAGATGAGGGATCAGCAGCTCAGTCCAAGGACTATTCTGGACTTTGGGGGGAACAGTCCCAGCAAGATACACACTGATATCCAGAGCATTCCTATGGGATTGTAAGTCCAGTCCCTGACCTGACTCATGGCCTGCTAGTCATCACTTGAGGACATCGCTTTGAGCCACAGACACCCATGGCTGATGGCATGGGTGACATCTCCTGGGGATGGCTGGTGACAGCAGACAAGTCCGTACCACCCAATAAGAAAGCTAATGAATGTGTTCTCTGTTTACACCTGCTGAAATGTGGGTGTCATTGCAGCATACACAGCAATACTGGTTGGCATTAAAACACACACCAACACAGTCTCCCTCTGACAGGTGGAAGAATCTTAAAAAAAAAAACAAACCCTCATAAATTAGAAGAAGGCAGGTTTGTTTAAAAGTCTCCATTAACTTAGAATAAAACTACCACAGTTAGAATAAAATTCAGAGTCACTTCCTGGGTCTCTGAGGCCCCACGTGAACTGAACCCCTCTTCTTTCTGCCCTTCCCTCTCCCCTCATTTTACTCCAGGTGCTTGGACTCCTTGTCTGCCTTGAGCTGCCAAGCTTATTCCTGTCTCAGGATCTTTGCACTTGCTGTTCCTCTGCCTAGAAGACACTTTCCCCACATCTTTCCTTGGGAGGCTCCTTCTTGGTATTCGCATTCTGGCTCAGATGAGAGGTCATTAAAATGGCCTTCCCTGTTCACTCTATTTCAAAACAAGATGTCACTTCCTATCACATTCCTCTGTTTCCTGGTTTTTGTGGCACTTGCTACTGTCTGAAATTATTTTATCTTTGCTTAAATATATTTGTTGGCATTTTTTTTTTATTTGCCTTCCCAACTGGAACAGATTTTCCATGAATGGAGGAAGGAAGCTCATGTGTCCTATTCATTGCTGCCGGAAGCACCCCCTGTTGGCACCACCCTCAGAGGGTCTGACACCCCTCTTCTCCTTTGGTCCTGATAACACATTTGCAGTTCCCAGAAGAACCCCGCTCTTTCTTGTCTCTTGTGTAGCGCCTGCTTCCTTTGCCTGCAGCAGCGTGACCTCCTCCGGTCACCTGGTCTGCTTGGATGTCCTGCAACATTCAGTCCAGCATCACGTGGTCCGGGAACGCTTCCTGCTCAGGCACGTTAACCCCTCTGAGTGTCCATCCCACGCCTGGGTTTCCCCTCATGCCTCAGCCTTTGACCTTGCCTGGTCACCCCTCCTCCTTCCCCGCCAGCCAGTCCTGCGTATCCTAAGCCACCCTCAGGTGTGACGGGTTCTAAGAAACCTTCCTGGGACTCCGCGGCTGGTCGAGGAAACCCACTCCCCCAACCCTCCCTACTCCTAAGGCCATCTTCCCCCATCACCCTTCACCTCCGTGGTCTCCAAAGCTGATGGAGAACAGAATTGTTTCTGAATGTCCCTTTGGCCCTAGGACCATGCCCCAGACCTAGCACAAAGCATCATAAATGGTTTGTTGAATGAATAGCAGTGATGGTTTACCCCGTAGGCAGCTGCTAGGTGGGGTGCTTAGAACAGCACCATCAGCGTGGGCAGCCAGGAAGCTTGCTGGCACCCGAGGAGGCTTGAGTCTCAAGGCTCTGCTAATGACAGGGTTGGTGGGAGATGGACTGGGGGTCCCAGGTGGTGCCTGTGGGTGCCTTCTCTTCCACTATCGTTGCCTGCTCCAGGAAGCCAGGGCTCACTGCAGGGCGACTGGCACAGCCTGTCTGTGATCTGGGAAAGTTCTGCACCACCTTCTAGGGATCCTGGGACTCAGACTGAGCAAGACTTTCCACCCTCTGATTCTGCCCTGTGCCAGGCATGCCCAACTGAGGCCAGACAGGGTCCTGGGGACTGGCTCATTTTCTCCTGAAGGACCCGCCTCTCTGGCAGGGAGTGCACTGAACTATCTGTCCAGGGCAGGGTGATCCTACCTCCTGGAGCTCCCAGAAACCCGGTGCCTGGAGAACTGACCTGTCATGCTTCTCCCACAGCATTGCCAATTAGAAATCTGAGGGTGCAAGATGTCCTGCGGACCCAGTTCTAATCCCAGCCCCTCAGCGTCGGCACTGCTCTGAGCTGGGTGGTGTGGCATGGGACATGAGCCAGCAAGTGCTTTACGATGACACCAAAAGGTTAATGCAGCTCAAAGAGGGCCCAGTTGGAGTTGGCCTGGAGGACGCCAGAGGCCCCGAGTGGGGGAGAGACCTCCATCCCCAGCCTCTATTTCTCAGATAGTCTCCTCAGACAGGGAGGAGCTGGGGGCTCTTTCGCGAGTGTTCCCCAGGCACCAGCGCTCCTCACACTCCCCACGCGGCTCCTCCAACTCAACCTGTACCGCGCTGCCAGAGAGCCTTCCTAAAATACCCCTGGCAGCACATCACTCCCCTGCTCAGACACTTCCTGCAGTGGCCTCGAGTTGCCTGGGATGAGGCCCCCAAAGCCCACCACGGTCCCTTGACACTGCATTCTCACACCCAGAGCCCAGTCTGGAGTCTCTTATTTTGTCTTCCTGGTGCCATCACTTCATGGATTTTAAACTCCTAACTTTAAAAAATGTCCTCACTGTGTTGTTATACATAAGGAGACTCGAGAGGTTGGTCAACTTGCCCAAGGTCACCCAGCTGGGGTTTAACTGTCTCTGGAGACTTTTGGGGTCTCTGAGCTCAGCCAGGCCCTCAGGGTGGGCAGCCTTGCTGCTCTGAGGACCTCCATTGTCAGGAGGCAGCAAATCACTCCCGCAGCCCAAGAGGGGTACTGACTAAACAAAAACCTCAGATGCAGCGAGCTGAAGGCCTGCCTTACAGGCATGGCATAGTGGCTATGAAGGTTCTAGAGCAGTTTCTGGGAGGAGTGATGCAGACCTGGATCAAGTTGTAGCTCTGTCAAATCCCTTTATCCTTCAGAGACCGGAAGTGTGGTCATGGGTTTGCTGTGAGAATAAAATGTGCTGGTGGTATACAGCAGGTGTTCAGTAAGTGTACCGTATTTAAAAACATCTCTTTCTCTTTGGAACTGGAAGATTCCTGGAAGATCATTCAATTCATCCTGTTTCCATTTTGCAGATGAGGAACTCCATCCTCAAAGGAGGGCAGTCCAAGGTCGTACAGCCAGAGGGAGACCTGGAGGGATAGAGCCTCCGTCTCCGAGTCCTCCCCCAGCCCTCTGTCCAGGGCAGGTTGGTTGTGCCTCCTGGAGCTCCCGGGAACCCCGGAGCATGGAGAACTGACGTGTCATGCTTCTCCCCCGGCAGGTATTGGAGGAAACTAGAAGGAAACTCTGGCCATAGAAGGCTGAGGCCTAGGTGTGTATTGGTGCCTCTTTTGTCTGACAGTCACATGACCTTGGGCACATTGTTCATCCATTTGTCCCCTGGGCTCTTACTCTGTGCCAGGCCTCAGGGACAGGTACCAACAAGACTCCTGCCCTTAAGAGACTCATAGTTTAGTCGGGGGCAACAGATAACACCTTAACAAACAAAAGGCAAGATTATTTGAGACAAAATAACACAAGGTGAGGTGATGGGCAAATGTTGGGAAGGATTGCTCTAGGGGGTGCAGCCCTTTGGAGGAGATAACCTTTGTATGATGGGATAATCTGCCACAGAGAGGAAAAAGAAGGTACAAAGGCCCTGGGGCAGGAATGAGCCAGGTGCAATAGAAGAGCATCTGGCTGGAGTTGGGGGTCTAAGCAGAGATTTGGAAATGAGGCTGACAAGGCCATCAGGTCATGCAGGGCCCTGAGGGGCCTGGGGTGGATTGTGGACTTTGTTCCAAGGATAGTGTATCCTTGCATGGTTGTAAGCAGGAGAGGGACATGTGAGGTTAAAGGGTCTGATGTTGACTCTCACACAGGGCGGTTGTGAAGAAAATGGGAAACATGGGCTATTGGTGCTAGAACCACAGATCAGTGATGTCACTCATGGGCACTGGAAAGGCCTCCTAGTCCCCAGGACTCCCTCTCCGAGGGAGTCCTTGTCCCGCGGGGCCAGGAGGGGGTTCCTCTTCAAGAGCCTCATTAAAGGATGTTCTGGGTGAGGAAGGGTTAGCTGAAACCCCGTGAGCCCTCGCTCTGTAGCTATTCTGGTGTCTCCCACCATCCTAGGGACTCCTGCCTCGAAATCTGCTTTCCTAAAATGCAGTCCACCCCTCAAACAGGCCCATCTTCCCAGCCCTTAGAGTTTACAGACTTACATTTGGTCCTTGTGACAGTCTGGATCTTGAATACCCCTGGAGGCCCCTGTGTCCAGGCTTGGCGTCCAGCCTGGGGTCCTGGGGGAGATGCGGAACCCTTAGGAGGTGGGGCCCAGTGGGAGGGAGGAGGTCATGGGGGGGGGAGTCCTGTGGGGGGTGGATATTGGGAGCCTGGCCCCTTCCTGTACCTGTCTACTTCCCAACTACCATCAGAAGAGTACTTCCCTCTCACCAGGGGCTGCCGTCATGATGCACTGCCATACCACAGGCCCAAAGGCAACAGGGCCAAGCCACCATGGACGAAGACCTCTGTAGGCATGAGCGGAAAGAAACTTTCCTCTTTATAAGTTGATTATCTCGGATATTTGGTACAGTGGCAGAAAACTGACTATCGCAGCCCTCACAATGTCCTACCTAATCTAGTCCTTGTCTCTCTCTGCAAATGCACTTTGAAAACAAAAAAGAAAACCCATTCCCGCCTTTTAACATCTATTTTTAAAACATGATCTCAGCTTCACGGAACTTCCTTTTCTTCTTAAAGTTAGGGCCAGCTCATTCCAGGCTCCGGGTCTTTGCATTTGCTGTTTCCTCTGCCCTAAGCTGTTATTTTTTTCTTCACCTGGGTTGGTGGCCTCTACTTGAGGTGGTAGGACAAATTCAGGTCACCTCATCAGAGGGGGACTTTTCTGATTTTTGCTATCCCATTAGTCACCCTCCTGGCCACAAGTGGTAAGCTCTCTGCTCTACTTTTTCATAGCACCTACTGCCCTTGGAACCATCTGACTCCTTGTTGACTCTCTTTTCCCAGCAGATGGAAGCTGGGATCCTCATCTGTCTCCACTGGTCTCAGAACTCAGTGCCTAGTACAGGGTAGCAGCTCAGTAGAGGTCTGTTGAATGGCCATTTCTGGATGGTAAGTGCCATTTTCCTAATCAACAAGCTCCTGCCTTCCTCCCCCCCACCCCTCCTCCCTTCCTTCTGGCCTAAATTGACAACCATTTATTATGTCACAGTTTGGCAGTTCAGGTACACAGAAGGCCTCAGCTGTCTCTGTTCAGATCTTTAAATGCCATGACCAGGATTCTGGGGAGGACGGGCTCTTTCTGAGGCTCCAGTCACTCAGGCTGTGGGTTGAACTCAGCTCCTCATGATTAGAAGACCGAGGTCTCCACGTCCTTGTTGGCTGTCACCTTGGGAGGTCACTGTCAAATTCTAGGAGCCGCCTATGTCCCTCACCATGTGGTCCTCTTCATCTTTGGGCTGGAGGTGGTGCTTGGAGTTCTTCTGAGGTTTCAGCTCTTTGCCTTCCTTGTGGTCCTTATTCCTGTGAGGGACCGCCCCCGCCACTAACATCCCCGACTGTAATAGGACAATTGGTCCTTTCCCTTTGCCTCTGCTTAGGCTCAGGCTAGCCGATGGTCATTGCCATTTGGGCAGTGTTTCAGTCTGCAGATTCTCCCTAGACAGGGTGTCACATAAACCCCACGCCCCCTTTTCCTTTTCTTTTGGGTACCGGGGATTGAACTCAGGGGCTCTCCACCACTGAGCCACATCCCCAGCCCTATTTTGTATTTTACTAGAGTCAGGGTCTCACTGAGTTGCTGAGGCTGGCTTTGAACTTGCGAACCTCCAGCCTATGCCTCCTGAGCTGCTGTAAATACAGGTATGCGCCATGTGCTTAGCTCATGCCTTCTTTTCGTAAAGCTTATTAACCTTGTCCTACAGGGGAGGAAATGCTGGGACATTCCTGAGGTCAGGTGGGTAGCAATGGTCATTTCTGGGTGGGTGCACAGATCTGCGGCCCTCGAATCTGCCCGACATGAGGCAAAAGCTCGAGGAGGAGGCAGTAAAAGAGAGGCCCCTGGGTGGGGAGGACTTAGAGGTGGGGGGTGTGCTCCACGGAGTTCTCTTTATTGAAGATTGGCCTAGTTACTAGAACTGGAGCCCCCCGTGTTCCAGGTTAGCGGTGGCCCTCTTCCCCATCACTTTCTCCTGAGGTGCACAGAGCAGCACTCTGCCTTGTTTTGCAGGGTTGCAGTGGGCTCTGCCTTGCTCCCTTGTTGACCTTCACTGATGAGGACTGACACTCCCAGTCTTCCTCAGCCCTTTAAATGATGGTTGGGATGAGGCTTCCTTTGCTCAGGAGCCCCCTCAGCAATGGAAAACCCAAGTGCATAAGTCGAGTGGGAAGGAGGCCGTGAGCTGTGGTGGAGGCGTGTGTGTGCACAGGTGTGGATGTCATGACTTGCACGCTCATGTGTGTGTGTCAGGGGAAGTGCATGCTTGAGTGTTGCCTAACTCTGAGTGTGTCCCTGTGTGCCACACAACGCAACATGCACGTGTATATGTCATGGCGGTGCATCCAAGCCTGGGTGCTGCCTCAAAGCTCATGAGGAAGTCAGGAAGAGAGAGAGAGGCTTGGAGAGTGTGAGCTAGCCGGCTCACTGTCTTCTGACCAGCAGACCCCATCTGACTCACTCAGAGACTGGCTGAGGGACACATGTCTGCCAGACCGACTGGCCCTCCCAGTTGCTGCTGCCTGACTCATCTCGCTCAGCACCCGTTCTCTGGGAAGCTTGTCTTAATCCTAGTTCAGCCTGTGGGCGATTAGCTGTTTGGAGCTGTGACTCCTGATTCCCATGGAGAAGAAAGGAGAAGGGTCTTTAGACTCACTGCCTTCCTGGGGCCTGGAGAGGAAACTTGGTGGATGTCTTCTTCAGAACATGGGCCCTGGTCCTTGCCTCTGGAGACCCTCATCTCACTTTCCTCAGTTTCTTCCTCTGTGAAGTGGTTGTCACAAGTTGACTGTGTAGCAAGAGAGCAAGGGCAGAGCTAGTAGATTCCCTGGTTCTGGGAAGGTGGCCTGACACAGGGAGGTCCGGGCCAGCGCCCGTGCAGGTGGGTCACGGAGGCAGAGGCCTGTCTAGGGCTGCAGAGTGCAGGTCCACGGCTATCTAGCGTCCATAGTGTTGGGCTCTGCAGAGACATGCAGGTCAGGAGGACAGTGTGGTTTCCGAATGAACTTAGCGAGACGCGGGGCTGTTTGTTACAGCAGCTGAGTGGAGAATATAGGAGAAGATGGAGTTTGGAATCTGGCTTGACTCTCATCTCTGTGACCTTGGACAGGTCAGTCTTCCCTTCCTGATATCCTTTTATGTAGAAGAGATAATAATTATGTCTTTGCTATGTTATTGGAACATTGTTTCATGGAACAGGAACATGCATGTGTGGTATCTAGCACACAGTAGGTGCTCAATAAGTATCAACATTGGGGTTGCAGAAAATGATTATCAAAGGTACTAAGAGATCCGCTGTTCTCAGTGGAAGTGTGGCCCTGTGGTCCCTGTCCTGCCCCGCAGCTCTGAGCAGACTTCTCTGGGTTTTCACAGTGCCCAGTTGTCTCCCTTGTTCACAGCGCTTCATGCTGGATAATCACCATCTGTTTATGTCCCTGTCTTTTCTGAAATTCCCAGAGCTCCTGGAGGGAAAGAACTATAGGAGAAATCATTGTGGTTGTTTGAATGATGTCCATCTGCCTGTCTGCTGCATTAAGCAGCAAGTATTAGAAAGGTAAGGTCAAGGGAAAGGTAATGGGCATTTATTCAGTTCTTCCTCGATGGTCTACACCCTTTATCTTATTTCTCCCTAATGCCTTACAAGAAGCCGAGATATCCAACTTGTCAACGAGAAGTCTGAGGATCAGAGAGAATGAAGACTTGTCCAAGGTCACACACAGCTGGGAGGAGGGGACCTGGAATTTCCACCCATCTGTGCCTCTGACACTGTTGTCCTGTGTGGTCTAAGACATAGGCGGGAGACCTGCCCTGGTCCCCACGGCTCTCCTATGTGTCTGAGAGCCACTTGAGAGGTCCCCTAGAGTAGAGGTGCCTGTGTGTCTCTGCTATAAGGGACCACAATCCTCTGGAGACTGCAGTGTCCAGGAGGCTTGGACTGCAGCCTCCAGCAGACACTGCCGTGGGTTCAGCTTCCCCCTCAAAGTTCTTGCTCCTTGAGTTAAAGGTCAATGCTTTCCATCTCTCTATCCTAAAACATTCCTGGCAGGGCTCTTTAGAGAATTCGCAGTTTGAATCCCAGCTTCACCATCTGCTGTGCGGGAGGCTAGTGTTATCCACTTTCCTGGGCACTGGTTTTCCTCTGTGAGATGAGGATAGTCACTCTTTTGTGGCTTGGAGATGGCACCTGTGTGGCCAGCACAGAGGAGATTCTTTGAGCTGAGTGTGCTAAAGAAAGAAGTCTTGTCAAGCCTGTGTTCTTCCGCTGCTTCCCCACAGTGCATAAGCTGGGATGTTTCCTTGACATTCCTACAAGACAATTTCCTTACTTTCTGGCCATGCCCACCCTTTTCTCTGGCACCAGCTAATGCAGAGGAGGCGAGACCCTCTCAAACCTGCTGTGTAACTTAAAATAACTGCACGCCTTTGCACTGGAAAAATGTTGCTTGTGTGGGCTTTCTCGACTTTCCTCTACAACGAATTGTGCTGAGTTTCCACCCTCAGTGGAAAGGTAGAGTTAAAGGCAGAGGCCTCTGCTTTTTAAAAAGAAAAGGGCTACACCGAACGTTCAAAGTTACAGCCTTGATAAACTAAGGTGGGAATTTGCTTTGCATTCTTCTGGTTTCCTCAGGTAGGATCCACCTGGTGGTGAAACTGGATATTGCAACCCAGCTCTATTCTTCCTTGTTAAATACTCAGGGAAAAGACGCAGAATTAAAAAAAAAAAAATGCTATCAAGTGCTCCACTGAGACTGCAAGTACAAGCACTAGGGAAATCAGTATGGAGACTTATCAAGAGACTAGAAATGGAAACACCACAGTTCACTCATCATGCTAAGTGAAATAAGCCAGACTCAGAATGGTGAGTGCCACATGTTTTCTTTCACATGTGAAAGGTAGAGAGAAAAAAAATAAAAAATGAGATTCTACAAAAACAGAAGGGAAAACAGTAGAGTAGATGAACGGAACTGAGGGGTAAGGAGGAGAGTAGAGAAAAGGGAAGTACTAGGAAATGAAACAGATCAAATTATGTGCATACGTGAAAAAAATATATATATATATATGTCACAATGTGTCAATATGTCAATGAACCCCACTATTAGGCATAATTATAACACATTAGTATGAACATTAGAAAAATAAAAATAAACTAATTAATATAAAGCAACTGAAAGAAAAAAAGCCATACTGAGCTAAGCATTGCATGCTGGGTTTGTTGCACACATGACTTTCCTTATGTCCTTTGGTCAGACAGCAGCCCTACTTTACTTGCAATACATCCATCCTGCTCAGGGTTACTCAGTATTAGGAGAGAGAACCAGGATGTAAGTTTTGGTCTCCCAACTTCAAATCATCTCCATGAAGACAGCTCCTTTAAAGAAACGGGATCCTTGTTTCAGATGGATTTCATGTGGAAGCCAAATAGGTGAGAAAAGTTTGAATGAACCTGCTCTGGCTGACGTGGCTGGTGGCCTTGGAGACCCCTGCATGGGTTTGCTTTCTTTCCCTGGGGTGCTCTGTGAGGCCTGTTGTAGAATCTTAGGACTTCAAAGAGCACAGCTAGAAAACCATGTGGGTACAAGCTACCAACTCCACAAGAGAAACCCAGCTCTGAGATCTGGCAGATAGCTCTGGAAGCCCTGAGGAAGTATAAAGGAGAATGAGAAAAGAGCAAAGATGTGAAAAATGCTAGAAACAGCTGCCCCCCAACCCCCGCCCCTGCAAGGAAATGTAAGGGTGAGACGCTGTCAGTGTCCTGTTTCCCAGGATCCACTAGGGCTCGCCCCTACCCATGCCAGCAAAATTCCTGGGTCCATGATTCTGTCTACTGTGCCTATTTCTTGGAGGATGTTTCTCTGATTTCTAGATAAATGTGGCAAGAAAAATAGGACTCTACCATCTGGAAGAATTTTTGTGGTATATCATTGTTTAAAAAAATACATTCATAAAATTATTTCCTAACAACCTCATGATCACAAACTGTAATTATCTCATTTGTTCATATTCTTAGTTTTATCTGTCTTCCCATCCAGACCACGAGCTACATGGGAGAAAGAACCTTGGCTATTTCAGTAGGGCATCGCAGTACCTGGCCCCAAGGTCAGCCTGTGGTGGGATTCAATAAATATTGGTGAATGACCAACCAAAACAACAGGCAACATTATTCTCATTTTACAGACAAGGAAACCAATGTCCTTTGAGGTTGAGGGGCTACCTAGGATCAAGCAGCTGGCAGCTAGCCAAGTCATCATTTGGACCCAGCTCCCAACTTTATTGTTAACTATGGAGCAACAATGAACCAAATGCATTTATTTATTAAGCACCAAATCTATCTTCTAGTTTTCTGGTCCAACTCCTTTCAGTCTGAAAGTCACCAGACTGTCTGCATGTCAGGGACACAAAGGCAGGGAGATCTCTCAGGGGCCTGGGGAGGATTAATCAGCAATTAGAGTGCAAAACACTTTCCAGACAAATGTTAAGTATTATTAGTATTTAAATTTAGTTTCATCTTCTCCTGCGGTCCCCACAAAAGGGGAACAGATGGTCCTGGCTCCAGGTGGAGAGGAGGAGGGCGGGGCCAAGTGAAGTTTGCAAGACTCCAGCTTCCAATTATCCCCTCCTGACTGATGTGAAAGTGCCCCCAGCCCCTGGCACTCTGTGGGGTTCTGGGGAGGCCTTTCTTGAAAAGCTGAGTGAAGGTCATGGGAAAGCACAGCTTGGGTCTGAATTCCCCTTCCTGGCTGTGTGTCCTTGAGCAGGGCATGACTCCTCACCAAGCCTCAGGTCACTAATACTGCCCAGCAGACTTGGAGCAGGGAATGAATGAGACCCCCATGCATGAGAATGCACTGGCCCTGAGCCCACTGACCATTCTTTTCTCTGTCTCCTTTAGGGGACCCAAGTTGGGGGTCTTAATTCCTTTGAAGAAGATTTGTGAAAATAGAAAACATCTGGAATGTGGAATCTTGTGGCTCTGAACATAAGCTTTGGCCCCTCTACCTGTGAGATCTACTCCATTCTGGACTTCATGTTCCTTATCTGTGAAATGGGCATGAGGCACCTGGTTTGCCTACCTTACAGGACAAAAGATCAACTGAGATGATGACTTTCTAGATTAAAAAGGGCAGTGCAATGGGAATGATGATCACTGTTTCTTTCCTCTTCTATGCCCCCAGGGCCTCTGGTTAGAGGTAGAAAGCCCGGACAAACCCACATATAACCCACATGGCTGAGCCCCAAATCTGGGCTCCCCCCTGAAAGAGGTCTTCTCTTTTTTTAATATTTATTTTTTAGTTGTAGATGAACCCAATATCTTTATTTTATTTTATGTGGTGCTGAGGATCGAACCCAGGGCCTCACACATGCTAGGCAAGCGCTCTACCACTGAGCCACAACTCCAGCCCTGAAAGAGGTCTTCTCTTTCCAGATGACTGGCAGTTGGCAGGACAAGCACCTGCCACTAATGGCAACCTCTTGCCACCCCATGGGGAAAACTTGCTTTAGATAATGGGACAACCCAGAGGAGGGCATTGTTAATAATACCCTGGTTGTAGCTGTGCCTGGGTTTTCAGTAGCATGAACCAGTACTGTAACTTCTTGCAGTCTGAATTTTTAAAAACCACTTGCAACTAAAACTTTTCTTGTGAACTAACCTACAACAAAAATTTGATTCTCATAAAAACCTTTGATTTCAATAATGGGAGTAGCATAGACATTAGTCTGGGAATAAGGTACTGACATTTGTATTCAATTTGCCAATATTTTGTGCAAAATTTTGTGTTCATGAGGGATATTGGTCTATCCTTATAATGAATGCCCTTGTTTGGTTTTGGTATCAAGTTAATGCTGGCTTCTTAAAACGAGTTGAGAAGGTTTCCTCCTGTTTTCTCAAACCTCTAATGTAGAATTGGTATTATTTCTTCCTTAAATGTTTGGTAGAATTTTCCAGTGAATCATGGCTCATATTTTTTGATGCTATAAATTTCTTAAAAAAAAAAAAAAGGAGCTGTTTTGCTCACTATTTCTGTCTTATGCATTGATTGAACTATTTCCCAACATTTTGTTTCCCAACATTTTCCCTGGATTCTTGTTTTGGGCTCCACCGGGCTCCGGTAACTATAATATGATCTAAATTTATGTGTTATGATTTTGCAGTTTTTACATTTAAAAAAAGCAACAAATTGCTTGCAATCTGTTTAAAAGAAATGAACAGAATGTGGTTAACTTTGATCTTATGTTAAAGTTGATGCACCCTGCTTGCCTTCCAGCTTACCCATTGCTCTCTGAGGTGTCCCAGGTCGACCCCTTGGTCCAGCCTCCTGGCCGCTGCTCATGCTGTCATCTCTCTCTGGAGCACCTTTTTCTAACCCTGCCCTGGCTCACTCCATTGGGATGCAGCCTTTGCAAATGTCTCTGGCGTTCCCAGGCTGAACCAGGTGACTCCCTGACTACCTCTGCCTGCCATGCTTCCCTACTGAAACATGAATCTTATTATAGTCATGCATCACTTAACAGTGGGACATATTCCGAGAAATGCAATGCTGTGTGAACATCCTGGAATGTACCTACACAAACCTAGATGGCATACGTCAATCACTCGATGTGGCCTCTTGGTGCAATCAAGAGACTCAGTAAATACAGGATGTGTGAGGCTATTGCTGGTGTTAACATGGCTTACTGTTTTATGGTAAAACTTTTTAAATGTAAGTAGATGGAGGACACACTAAAATAGTGATAACATGTATAATAAAGACATAGAGCAGTAGCACAGTCATTTATTATCATTAGCAAGTATTATATGCTACACAATTGTACAATGCATACTTTCATACAACTGGCAGCTCATAGGTCTGGTTACACCAGCATCACCACAAATGCATAATGCATTGTTCCATGACTTTTTGATGGCTATGAGGTCACTAGGCAATAGAAATTTTCAGCTCTGTTATAATCTAATGGTACCACCATTTCATATTTGGTCTGTTGTTGACTGAAACATCATTATGCAGTGCATGACTATATTGAAATTGTCTAATAGTTCTCTTTCCTATACTATGAAGCCCCTGCATCTATTCAGTTCATTGTTAGATTCCTGCTCTGACAACAGAGACTGGCGCAGGGGCCCTTGGTAAATACTTGTTGAGTGAATGAACATTTATTGTTATTCATGACTACAGTCATAGCAATAAAGCCACTTACATTTCACTTCTCTAAATGGTTTATGAGTGGTTTGCACTTGCAGTGTCTCATTGGACTCTTCACAGTAATTCTACATAGTTGGTGTTATTACCTCATTTTACATTTGTGGACACTGAGGCCCGAAGAGACGTATTGACTTGCTAAGTTGCATAAATGGCAGAGCTGGTATCCAAAGGCTTCCTGGCTCCAAATCCAGGGATTTCCTCTGAATCTCAGTTATATGCCAAGATGCTGTTGGTCTGGGGAATTTTATATGATTTACCCTTAAGCAAAATTTGTGCTAAAGCAATAGCCAAAGGGGGTCCCCCAGGAAGGAATCTTGAGCCATTCTTCCAGCTGGGGTGGAGCCAGTGTGCAGAAACCTTGCTTGCAGGTTAGACAGGACTTCAGGCCACCAAGAAAGGGGCATGAGGCAGTACAAAGTTGATAGCAAAACCTAGCTCAGGGTCAGGTAGCGTTTCCAAAAGAAGGGGCCTGGCTATGTCTGGTGGAGAGAGTCCCTTATAGTCTTGGACTTGCTGACTTTGGGTGAAGGGATAAGTTACTTCCTTTCCAGCCTCTCATCCCTACCCCAGATCCTTATGGCTGGTGGATGTGGCAAACCAAATTTAAAAGAGCCATAGTATGAATCTGGGCTTGGCACTAGAGCCTTTGATCTATTGCATACAGTTCCTTCCCATTTCCATTTGCCTGACTAACTTTAACACATCCTCCAGGTCTAGGTTTCCTCCAGGAAGCCTTCCCAGATTCTCCATATGGGAAAGAAGTCCCTTGTGTGTCCCTCCTGCCCCACCTCCCGTGCTTCTTTTAATCCCAGATGTGAGCACCCCCAGAGTCTCACTGTATGTTCACATTTCTTGATCACATTTGCAGGGACCGTGCTTTCTTCATTGCCAAATCCTTAGCAGCCAGCACGTCTTATCTGCAAAATGAGTGTGGCGATTCCTCATTAAACGTTAGATTACAAAGACTCTCTAATAAATGAGATTTCAAAACCCTCCAAAATTTTATAGCTAAGATTCAATGCAGATTAATTTTTTTTTTCTTCTTAGCTAATGCTGCAGAGCAGAGAGTGTTAGGGCCTTCCTGTGTGTGGCCTCTCAGTGCCCACTTCCTTCTTTTGGACTGAGCAGTGAAGAGTCCTGGGCAGAGTTCTGGAAGGCACGGAAGACTGAGGAGCCCAACCCAACCATGTCCCCTGAGTTCAAGCCTGTGCTCCTGCAAGACCTCAAGCCTGTTGAGCCCACCTTGGCTCCTCGGAGGGGTGGGGGAAAGGTTTGACTCCACTTTCTTGATGCTCAAGGGTTGATAACTCCCCTGAGTTTGTCAGCTTGGCCAGCACTTCCAAAAGGATCATAAATGAAAGCGTAGGGGGCCCAGTAAGGAGATGTATAGGCGAACAAACAGCAGAAAGCAGTTTCCAAAGCCCACATTTCTGGTTGTCACCCAGCTCAACAGAAAAAAAAAAAACACCCCAGATTCTGTCACACAGACCTCATTTAGCTCTTAGGACTGTACGCAATCTTAATAAGTCAGTTCATCTTTCTGAGCCTCAATTTTCTTTCCAGAAATGGGGCCATCAGAACTTAACTTTCTCTGTTGGTGCAGGGACCCAACAGGACCCTTGGTCCTGTTCATGCTATGCAAGACACATTGGAAATGAGGAGCTATGGTTGGTTGACTATTAATGACTTTCATTTCCCACCTACAGACACTGAAACTGTGCTCAAAGTCACATTGGTACCTTCCATACTATTTTCAGGGCCAGAGACTTTTTGGTGCCCAGGAACAATTGATGAAGGAAGTATTAGTTCCAAATGGTAAGACTAGCAGGAACACAGAGAAGACACATGGACGGCAGAATAAACAGAGTCTTAGGGTAGCCCCGGGAGGAGCTGAATGTCTTTAGAACAAAGTTTCAGGAAGTAAACAAGATCCTCTTACATGGATTGTGTCCCAGACTTCAAATACCCTTTCTCTTTCAGTGTCTGACGTATTAATTTTTCTCTTCAGTGTCAGCCCAAATATTCCTCCTCACTAGCATTGTTTTCCCTCCTAGGCAGAATCAGCTGACCCTACCTCTGGGCCTCTTTGGGCTTCTGTTAATGCTTTCACTAGACATGATGTCATAGTTTAATTCTTGTCATGGTTTTTGATCTACGTATCTGACCTCCTGCTAGATGGTGGATCTCTCCAGGGCCAGGGTCATGTCCAGCCTCTTTGTGATCTTTGTGGGCCCATGTGTAGGCTGCTGGCAGGCTTAGGCAATGCTCTTCCCTCCCAGGAAAGGCGGAACGAGTCAACATTGTATCCAGAGCTTGTAACAGATGCACCTCTTTCTGAAGCCCTCCCCACCCCTTAGTAGCCCATTTGAAGCTCAGTGGGGTGATGGACTCAGTTGGTCCCATCCATGGATACAGGAAAGGAGCAGCTGTTGACCTTGAAAACGGAGCTTGTATGGAGCTTTGCAGGGGAGAGGCTCTGGGAGCCCCTGTATAGTCCTCTCTACACTTGGCAAATCCCTTTTCTTCCCTGAGCTTCAATTTCCCTTTTTGCCTCTTCAGCAGTTGGGAGAGAAGGGATTGAACTTCAGAGAAAGCAAATGCTTCTTCCACTCCTAAAATCCCATACATTTATTTCCTGGGTCTCTTGGAGACTGACAGACACATGTAAACACACACATGTGCACAAACTACACACATGCACATAGGTATAAACAGATGCACATGTACCCAGGCACATATACACAGAGGTATATTCACATCAACATGTACTGGCTTTCAGAGATACATGTACCTAAATGTCAGGCTTGAAAAGTATACAAAAACAGCCTGCCACAAAGACACGTTTACACCCAGATACACAAGGTTTGACTTCATAGGCCATACACAGGCACACAGTCTCATAGACACCCACAAATGTGAAAGAACAAGCTCGTGCATATTTCCTTTGTCAATCCAAGGCCTCTTCTAGCAGGTAGAATTGGGGATCATTGGAGTAGACCTGAATTTCCCTTGCAGGTAAGCCCCCTTCCTTCTCTCCAGACCTTGGGCCACATGAAGGAGTCGCAGCTGCTTTACCTGGCTGAGCCAGGAGTAGAGTGAACGCAGCTTTCAACCCACAGGGGTGGGATCAGGATGGGGACTCATCTCCCAGGTTACTGTCTATGGATGCTGCTTTTTAAAAATAGCTTCCTGCTATTTCCAGGAAAGCTCTGGGGAATGAGGATTTCAGAGATTTGATTTGGCTTGTTCCTTGCCTGCCTGTGGAGCTATGCACAAGAGTCTCCCTGAGAGATCACCAGCCTCCCTATTAGTGCTCTAGAGCCTGTGGTAAAGAGGACGAGGCTAAGGGAGGCAGAGGGCTGTTTCACCACTAGACCCTGCTCCTACAGGAAGGCTGCCTTGCTCACTTCTCCTGGCTGGGGCATCACATACCTCCAGGAAGACAGCATGACATAGTAGCTTATATCTGGGCTCTGCAACCTTGGACAAGTTGCATCATGTCTCTAAGTATCAGTGTTTTATCCAAAACATGGGGCTACTCATCTCTCCCTCCCTTCTGAGTTGTGAAATTAAGCAGTAAGCCTGATCCTCCTCCTCCTTGGCTCTGTCCAGGGATGGAGAACAGCCTGGTTTACATGAGCATCTCCATACCTGCTCCACATTGCTAGCTGCCTCCCTTCCTGTCCCTCTTCCTAGTCTCCTAGGTGTCCCCTACACTATTGGTGTCCCCTACACTGCCCCTTCATTTACCTTTCCAGCTAACAATTGCTTCTTTTCTGGATAATCAGCTATCATCCATTTGTTTTCAGAACCAGAGAGCTCAGAGGGCTATCTGGCCAAACGTGGGTGAGAGGGACCCCCAGGCAGCAGCCTGGGCCTGGCTCCCATCAAGAGCAGAAGGCAGGGCAGTTTTGATGGTGCAGGAACTGGGCTTCCACGAGGCCCAGGAAGGAGATCTGGCAGCTGGTGGGCCCCGGGGCTTTCCCTCACATCCCTATGAACCTTGTGGCCACCGACTAAGTCTCCAGGAGAGTTCTGGGTAGGCACTGTTACAGTGATGACGACCTGAGCCTCAGCCCTGGTTTGTGCCCTTCTAACTGTCTGATCTTGGGCATGAGATACAACCTCTTGGTTTCTTCATCTGCACAGTATGGGTCCTCTACTGTCCACATGGCGAGGTCACATCAGGGTAGACAAGCGGTGGAAGATATTCTGTCAGCCACGTGTGGCCTGAAGGTTTCATCCCCATCTAGATGGAGACTTGGGGGGGAAGAAGACTTAGAATGATGGAGTCTTAGGATGTTAGTTCTGGGGGGAAAAAAAGTCACTCATTTACAGATAGGGAAATGCAGGCCCAGAGAGAGCAAGTGACTTCTCCAAAAGACCCAGCGGACTTCAGAAGGCAGGAGGAGCTCCAGGCCTACCTGATCACCCCTTCCACCTTGGCAAACACTGGCAGAGGGATGTGGAGGTCAGATCTGGCTCTGGATGACTCTCCTGGTAAAGGGGTAACTCCTAGGAGATGTTGGTGTCCCCTTTCAGAAGGTGAGCTTCCACCTTCCTTAGGGAAGGAGCACGGTTGGGAGGTGGGCCTGCTCCAATCCCCTCACCACCACTGATTTGCCATTCGGATTCAGGAAATTGCTAGCCTCTCTGAGTATCAGCTTCATCTCCACAGGATGGGGGAGGGCCTCCTTTGCAAGGTTGTTATGAAAATCAAATAAAAGAACTCTTAAGTTAGCTCGTGAAGAGACCTCTGGGAAATGCACTTTCCAGCTCTTAGACTGATCTGTATCTGCCTCTCTAAAGGCAGAGGCCTGACCCAGGGTGAGAGGCCAATTCCTAGAATCATCTTTGGATCAAGGATCAAAGAGATGGGGCCACAGAGAAGGTGAGAGGGAGGAGCCCAGTTAGGTGTTTGCAGGGTATGCAACCTACCCTGATGGCTCTTTTCCTCCCCTGGACCTCATTCTCTCCACCTGTCAGATGGGGGCTGTGAATCATAGTGTCT